AATATTAATTAGATAATATATTATATTATATTCATTATAAATATAAATTGCTCATATAAATACCATGGAGAATGTAACATTTAGGGTCAGATTGCATTAAACAGAGTGGGAGATCACATTTGAGAGGCCTGTGTGACAGATATATATTTCCAATATCACTTTAAGTACTGAAGTATTACTGTCTGTGTATGTGAATGCACATCTATTAACACAAGAACCACAAATTTGCATGTTATTTTCCAAGAAATACTTAACATATTCAAAGCTTGAGCCATGCTAAAGGGGATGAAGGGTGGAGCCTTCATTTAAATGGATACCAGGTTCACCAGGACTGAATTCTGTCCAAAGACTGGAAATAACAGCAACATATAAAAATTGGTTTCTATTGACAAAGGTGCCTCCCAACACTGATTCTGAGCTTTCAAAGCTAAGTTGGCTTCTTCAGAAAAAGCTTTAGAAAAATGATCAGTGCTTCAAGAGGGAAATGAAGGCATCAACTGACTTTATAGCCTCTGATTTCATTTGCACTTGCATCACCCAAGGTCACTAAATATCTTCTTCCTCCCAGTACCTGTGTTGGAGGTGAGTGGTCCTGTGTCACCCAGTCGTGCCCCGGGACTTGCAGCATTGAAGGAGGCTCCCACATTTCCACCTTTGATGAGAAGCATTATTCCTTCTTTGGAGACTGCAGCTACGTCCTAACCAAGGTAAAAATGAGTCACAATCCTTCCTCAAGCATTATGCTAAAGGAACATGCTTTAATTAGAGATAGTATTGTTTAATTAAAACTACTGGTAATCACATCAACTTTCTGAAACTTAGAGGGTCAACGTGGAGCCCTAAATGGATTTCAGGGGTCTGTCTGCTAGGGCTATACTAAATAAATATATTGTGGTAGTTTTGTATTCTTTGATCATCATTTAAGAACTGCAGTGGGTTTTTAGGTTCCATGAAACAATTTCAGTGCTCCCCATTAAGTTTTTAATTAAATATCCATCAGTACCATCCTTTTTTGTCACAGTTAATACAGTCTGATGGCTTATTTAATTAACAGTATTCCTAATAGAATTATTATTACACAGAATTCATGTGAAAAGCATTATTTCATTAAGAGAATCAACCCTGCAGTCTTTCCCAGTAAACACAGAGGAGTTTAAAAGCAAAATAAAGAGCAAAAAGCTCTAGAGTTTAAAAATGAAAAGCTAAGAAATCATATATGTATTCTAAAACCTAATTTAGAGATTAATGGCTTAGAAAAATACCTAGGATTTACCAGAGTTTTTAGATTAGTAGGGACTGAATCCTGAGTAGCTACAGCTAAAATAATTACTACAGATTTGCAGATTTTAGAGCTCTAAGTATATTTTTTGTTTATTTGTATTGGCTGAGTGATGTAAATTATTTTTATGAAGACATATTAAATGAAATCTATTCTCCAAAAATAATAGGCTCAAACTGAAAGTTATCAAGAAAGAGAACTATAAAAACTTAGAAATTACCTAGAATGAGGTAGTTTAGAAATAGACTAAATCAAAGAAACTTTTAGATGGGACTCACAAGCACTGGGCTTGATCCACAATGGGAGCCTGGATCAGATGGACACATTAAACTCCTCTTTTGGCACCACCATGTAAAATATGATCCTCAGCTCTGGAGGTCCAGAAAAACCCTAAATTTGGACAAAAAAAAAAAGTCAAAACCCCCCCATAATTTTAATATTAAATTTCCAGATGGCTGGAATACTACATCTCAGCTATCCTCAATTTAATCTTCATTACACCATGAAAATTATATGTTCAGAATTGCACCTCTCTGCATGTTTCTTGGTCATGTCTCAGCCATTAGGAACATTTTGACTATAGCTCACAGAACGCAGTCCAGTGAAAATCAGAACCCAGAGAAAAACTGAATTTTGCCTTTTTTTCAGTAGCTTAGTGAATTTTAACTTAATTTTCCCCTATGAGAGGACATTTAAATGCTTATTTCCTACCTGTTAGAATCATGCCCATATCACCAGGCTCTTTGATAACCCATTCAGTGCAGAAGAAACTGGAAACAACTTCCCTCATCTCCTAGGGAAACATCATAACCAATGGGCAAGAAAGGCACATCCCCTTCTACTTCTTCTCTAGCATCTTCTCATCTTACTAAGAATATCGTTTGAGTGTGAACCTTTTAAAAATAATAATATTTTAACACAACACATCCTTTTAACCATATATTTTGTTTTCTTCTTCTAGCTCTGTGACAGCAACGAATTCACTGTTCTGGGAGATATCTACAAGTGTGGCCTGAGTGACACCGAGACGTGTCTCAAGGGTGTCGCCGTCAGCCTGAGTGGAGGACAAACTGTGAGTCCCAAAGTCTGCAGAGAGGTTTTCACAGCTTAGTAGACAAGTAGTTCACAAGTGCCACGTAAGAGCAGAGCCAGGAAATATGCACTCTTTTGGTTTTTGTTTTTTTCGTTGGATCTCATTTGAACGTTATTCAAAGAAAAATTGAGCATAAAGTAGGTCTGTTGGAAGTCAAGATCTCAGCATTTTCTGCCATTTGGTTATCAATGGGCATTTGCTTGTTTTTGACAGTAGACCACAGTAATAACAATTAAAGAAATAATACAGGAATCAGAACATCTTCACAGTCTTCCCCCATTTTTTTCATTTTTTTTTTTTCTTTTCTCCTGAACAATACCAGATATAAATATTTTTACATCTAGATATAAAATATTTGGAAAGTGTTTTACCTTTCCCAAACCTGCTTGATAATCATTTCCTTTTCTCGTGGACAGAACATTGTCATCCAGCCCTCCGGCAGCGTATTTGTGAATAAGATCTACACACAGCTGCCATTCTCTGCAGGTAAGTTTCTCTGGAATGTTTCTCATTATTTTACTTTAAAATGTTATTACACCAGTTAACCTAGAGCCAAATTCTACCTTGGGCCACACTGCAGCAAACCCGAGGTACTCCAACACAGCACAGTCCCTCATTTTTAAAATAACAGGGTTTGCCTGCTCAACTCTTCTCAGCAGAATTATGGTCCAATTTTAGCAAGATCTGATTAAACAGAGATTCAATTCAAGCAAATAGTATCGTTGCACACTTCCAGACCCAAACATTGCTGTAAGAGAGGAAAAAGGAGTTCTGATATGCAACAGGACTCCAGGATCTCAGGTTGTTTAGTTCCTTGTGTCTCCTCTGTGCCTTTTCTTGATGCACATTCGTCACTGGAGAGTTTCTCTCACACCAGTTCTTCTCAGATCATGCTGCATCTGAACCAGGAAAGGTTCAGCAAACCATGTAATGAAAGCCAACCATGATGGGACAGAATAGACCCTCTTTGGAGTCTACCACTAAATCATGCTGTATCATTTTCACCAAGCAAAGGTGGCCTTTTAAATAGCAACAGAAGTGTGTGTTCTTCTTCTTACTTTAAAGCACTTGATTGAAAGTGGAGGGGTTTTATACATTTATTGCTTTGGGTGAAGACAGTGTAGTTTGGTGCTGGATTTGAAAATCTACATAGATCATCTTTCTATACAATGATCAGTTATTTCAGCTGCTCATCTCATCTGAAATCATAACTCTTATGTTCTTCCCTCCCTAGCAAACGTCACCATCTTCAGACCAACATCTTTCTTCATAATTCTCCAAACCAACTTTGGCCTTCAGATACAGATCCAGCTCGTGCCTCTCATGCAAGTTTTTATAGACTTGGACCCAGCACACAAAGGGCAGACCTGTGGTAAGTGATCTTATCCCAACCACCGTGCTCAGCAGCGTGCTTCATGCTGCAGGAGACCTTCACAGCCCATCTGCTTCCCCCTAGGGCTCTGTGGGAACTTCAATGATGTGCAGACAGACGATTTCAAGACCACCAGTGGTGTAATAGAGGGCACTTCAGCTGCTTTTGGCAACACTTGGAAAACTCGGGCTGATTGCCCTGATGCCAAGAACACCTTTGAGGACCCCTGTACTCTCAGCATACAAAATGGTAAGCTCAGCATGTAGGAAGCTCCTCTATTTTCTTTTAAGATGGAAAGAAGGAGTAAGCTGAGGAGTCACCAAGAATTGAGCCAAACTGATTCTGTGGAAATAAGAGTGGACCATTCACATACACACAATTTTCCTCTGTTGGCACCTGAAGTCTTCATTTAATAAGTAATAAATAGGATAATATTTTTGATATTCAAAATATTCCTTTGGATAAATAAAACAAGTGTTTTTGCCAGCTTAAGGGAAACTGGAACCCTGCAGCATATCAGGGATCCATTCCTGGAAAGAACTGGCTGTCATATAAGGAAAAAAGCTGTGCCTAAGGAAAAAACCCCACCTAAGGCTGGGTTCAGGGTGGTCCTTCCACTGTTGAACTGAGAACCAGACTTACAATTCAGAGCTTCATAGCTCTCAGGCTCTATTTCAGTCAATGAGATACATGATTTCTGAGCACTCATGAGCCACCCTTCTATCTTCTGAGATGGACCAGCATATTTTTAACTCACAGCATGAACCTTCCTTGCCAAAATTCAGCTAAGGAGGTTTTAGCTCACTTCATGACAACCCGTGACCTAAGAGCATCCAGTTTACGAAAAATACATCTTTCTGTAGAGAGGAAAAGAAAGACTGCATTTCAGCAAAGGCAGAGCTGAATTTTATAACAAAGTTAAGCTTCTGCAATTTCCCTGCAGGAAGCATTGAAACAAGAGTTTAGACAATGAAGTGCAACAGAAATTCTTAACCTGTTTTCAATTCACAGACCAGTATGCCCGGCACTGGTGTGGGCTGCTCTCTGACACCAAGGGACCTTTTGCTGCGTGCCACCCGACAGTGAATCCAGAAGTTTACCAGAAGGTACTTGGCTCTTAACTTTTCCCCATTTAAAAGAAAAAGACTCAGATTTCTGATACTAACACCTGAGGGAATAACTTGCCTGCTGGGAGGTGATGCATTCGTGATAGTTTTCAAGCCAAGGGTTCATTTCTATCTACACATCATAATACATATTCCTTTGTAAAGGTAACTTTCTTCCCACCCCCAGGAGGATAAATTTACAGGTGTCTTGCTGCTTGCCCATAATTTTAGGTACTCACCTAAATGCCTCTGCTGGGAGCTAGGACTCCCTGGACTCCTTATCAGGTCAAAGGACAGAAGCTGTCCCTCCAGAGGTATAAGGAAAGCTGTAGTAGGTACCTTAACACTTTGCTTAGTTGCTCTGAACTACTCTCAAAAGGCTTTTGCATAAATCCAAGGACAAGGCAAGAAACGTGTAAGAAGCGTCAAAGAGATCTAGAGAAGATGTGATCAAAAATGTCCCAAGAATGTTCAACAAATATCTTCTAGAATGACATTATAGTGACCTTGCCCAGCACAGCAACACATTAAATGACTTCTTATTTCCTTTGTTCCTCTGATGCAGACAGCCCAAGCTCCTAAACCTAAGCCCTTAAAGTTGGGTGGCACCAAACAGCCTTTACTTGTTCTTGGTATATATGACACAGTTGCTACAGACGGGGAGTAGCTGGGAAACCTACACCTGAAAAACATTAAAAAAAAGAGCAAGGACAAGAAAAAACAGTTTAAAACTCTAAAACTGAGCCTCTAATTACACACTGTCCTTGCAAAGACTTTTTTGAAAGTGCTTAATGAAATCTTCAAATGAAAATCAGGCACGTTTTCCTCTGCTTGGGGATTTTAGCTCTAATGAAGATGACACTAAAAAAAACAGAGAGCTGTGGCTTTGACCTGACAATCTGATGACCCTGTGTCACCCTCTGTCCCCAGAACTGCATGTTTGACACGTGTAACTGTGAGAAGAGCGAGGACTGCATGTGTGCTGCCCTTTCCAGCTACGTCAGGGCCTGTGCTGCCAAAGGAGTGGTCCTTGCTGGATGGAGGAGCAAAGCCTGCAGTAAGTTCTCCCTCTCTCTGCCTCTTTGAAATGAGCATCCAGAGTGCCCCACACAGCAGCTCTCAGGGATTCCCACAGTCAGCTGTGTTACAGGGTGTTTTAAGTGTAGCACTGACTTCCAAGAATTTGGGGAGGAAGGGAATGCCACAAAAGGGCAGCAGAAAGCAGGGAGAAATATCAAAATGAGTTTTTCTTAGATTACCTGCTCAGAATCAGCAGGAGCAACATGGACCTCAAAACCCTTGCAATAGGAATAAAATAAGTGAGGTGTTTCTCTGACAAAAAAATATAAAAATAAGAATTAAGGAAAACCACACCATTCATATAACTGAATTTTTCCTTTTTTTAATGTGGACAAAACTTGTATTTGTGACACATGTATAGGGGCAAATTCTGCTCTAACAGCACCAAAACAAAAAGAATTACACTATCAAGGCTAGCAGCAGAGCACATGCATTGCCACCTTTATCACACACACTTCACCTCCAACACAAATCTCCAATGAGCTACAAATGTTAACTCACCTTTTCACTCCCTAGCAAAATACACCACCTCGTGTCCAAAGTCCTTGCAGTACACCTACTTCCTGAACTCCTGCCAACCCACCTGCCGGGCTCTGAGCGAGCCTGATGTCACCTGCAGCATCGAGTTTGTCCCCGTGGATGGCTGCACCTGCACAAATGGCACCTACATGGATGAGAGTGGCAAATGTGTGCCAGCTAACGAATGCCCCTGCTACTACAGAGGGACACCTCTGGCTTCTGGAGAAGTTATCCATGATAATGGTGTTGTCTGGTAAGAGATTAGAAAACTAAAGATGCTACTGGGTAGAGGCAATCATGAAAGCACACACGTATTGTTCATTCTTGCCAAATCAAATGCAATAATTTCAGTAGAAAAAAAATCACAGATCCTTAAAAAATTGTTAGGACTCTCCATGTTTGGAGGATTGAAGTGCTACAGAAACTCAACAAACCATACTGTGGTGGGTTAGCCTTGGCTAGCAGCCCAACTCCCACCCAGCCACTCACCCCCCTCCACACATCCTTTTCTTGCTCGTGACTGTAAAATACTTGTTCTGTGGTGAAAGATGCTTGAGAATCCCATTACACGTTATTCCCATGATGAATGGAGTTGGAGCTATTCTGAAGGACAGTTCTTAACCAGGCAAATGGACAGAGCAAATCTGTGTTTATATAGAATTCACTTGTGCTTTGCCCTGCTCTAGTATAAGATATTTTTGATTGGTACAAACTATTCTAATCAAGGACACATTATCTCTGTTTTATCAATTTTTGGTTATTTCAAATTCATTAGGAAAGCTGAAATTTAACAAGGAAAAGCATAAACCATATCTATTCTCTTTTTTTTTTATATAGCACTTGCACCTTTGGAAAGCTGAGCTGCTCTGGAGAGAAACCTGAACCAGGTAACGTATCACTTCAGGTTTTCTTTAATTCTCCCTTGCCACCTTCACCCTTTTCAGTTCTCTCTCTTTTTTATCACAATGATGTAAAATCTACAAGTCTGAAATAAAAAAACAAACAAACAAAAAAAACCCAACCAACCAAACAAAAAAACTGATGACTTCTGTAATGTAGAAAATATTCCCAAAATATAAAGAAACTCTGTCTTACCTTTCAGGTGGCTGGAACAAGTTACAACTCCCTTGGCTTTACCCAGGGGAAAAGCATAGCTGGTCACCTCACTGAAAGTGAGGAAAAAGCTGTCCAGTAAATAAAATAAAAGTACTAAAAAAGCCTAAAAAAAAAATTACCAAGTAAACTAGAATCTTTGTTTTCTTGGGTGTTTTTGGAGGGACTGTTGTTTGGTTGTTTATTTTTCCCTCTGAAAATGTTTCATGAAGTTAATTAAGCATTAATTTCTGTGAGTAGTCCACGCATAAGCACACAGGAAAAAAAAACCAGATTAGCATGTCTTTAAAAGAATATTCAGTTTCTTTTTCTGGTTAAATGTACATATCTCACAGAGGAGCCTTTTTTAAAAATTATTTTTCAGTCTGCATAAAGGAAACACAAAGGGATAAATAAATGATCTCACATTTCTTGTGGCTTTTTTTCTTTCAGTCTGTGTATCTCCCATGGTCTATATTGACTGTGGCAATGCCAGTGCTGATGTGACAGGAGCAGAATGCCAGAAGAGCTGTCAGACCCTGGATATGGAATGTGTAAGTAGGGACTCTATACCCAGCTGAAAGCATGTTAAGCTGGGTCTCTTGTACAACTACCAGCTGCAGCTGGACTCTTCCACCAGAGAAATGTGTCAAGTCACATTCTCTTTATGGTCCTTGCAGTACAAAACCCGCTGTGTCTCAGGCTGTGTGTGTCCTCACAATCAAGTGTTGGATGGCAGAGGTGGCTGCATAGCTCCAAAAGACTGTCCGTGTGTTCACAATGGGGATTTCTACAACCCAGGAGAATCCATCAGGGTTGGCTGTAACAACTGGTAAGAGCATATTGAAAAAAATCTGATCTTCCAGCATCTGAACAGGAATCTGAGTTTAAGCTCTTGGTGAATTAGAGCACTTTATCAATATCAAGGTTTATCAGAAGGAATCTTATATAAAAGATAACCCACTTGGTACTTAAAAAACAAAACCTGTCTGTTTTTTACAACAGCACAGGAATCACAAGTGGCAGGAAAAGCAATTCTGTTTGGATGTCACCATAATTCACTGGAGTCAAGAAAGTTTTTTCTTCGCAGGCAATCCCTACATGCAACAAGATTTGGAAGTGTGAAAGATTTAAAGTATTTTCTAATCCAAATTATCAAGGACATTGTGAAGCAGCACAGTCACTGGGTAAATCCCAAAGGCCGTTGAGCTATGTTGCAATCCTGAGTAGAAGCAAACCTTATTTTTTCATTATAGGCTTAACACGTTTAAAAATCAGATTGATGTGCATGCAGGAATGTAAATATATCTTGTGTGCACGTCTGGTTTTTACATCTGGGGTGCTTTTTGTCTTATGTAGCACGTGTAGAGACAGAAAATGGCACTGCTCCCAGGAACCTTGCCTGGAGACCTGCTCTGTTTATGGGGATGGCCACTACACCACCTTTGATGGCAGGCGCTTTGACTTTGAAGGAGACTGTGAATATGTTCTGGTCCAGGTAACAGAGTCCTTCCCAAATTTTTGGACTGGTGAAGTCCCTTGCATTTCACCTATGACCATGCAGCATAGTTAACACCGACTTTCATTCCTCTGCTTCAGAACTACTGCGGTCAGCAAAGTATGAATCAGGGAATCTTCAGAGTCATCACTGAGAACATTCCATGTGGCACGACTGGAACCACTTGCTCCAAGTCCATTAAACTTTTCCTGGATGTGAGTATTTTATTTAATAAATTTTACCCTAATGTGCCAGAAGGATGGAATGAGCTGTCCCACTTCTACACCCATGCTAGAAGAGTCCTCCAAGACAGTGAAAATGTTACTGCACTTCTTTGTTCCCCACTAACAATTCTGCTTTCTTCTAGAGAAAGCAGACAAGGGAATTCTAAAGAGAAATTGCTTGAGGTGGTGGAATAGAATCATTTTGATAATAATAGAGTTATTTCAATAAAAGTGACTGGCAATATGTAAAACTGTACCCAGTAGGTGACTTTTTTTAATGGGCCTCTCACTTTTTTTTTTTCCTGTCCTAGAACTATGAGCTGGTACTTAAGGATGGACACTCTGATGTCATCCAGAGGGCCCCTGGAGGGAAAATGCCATTCCAAATGCGTTCCATGGGCATCTACACGGTGGTTGACACCACTGTTGGCGTGATACTCATGTGGGATGGGAAAACCAGTATTTTCATCAAACTTACTCCCAGCTTCAAGGTATGTTTTAAAATCCAAAACCTGGATAAAATTGTTCCCAAAACACATTGATGTTGTCTTTCAAAGAAAGAAAAAAGTGGAAATTTAGGCTGTAACTGGTAGACTGAAAGAGTAGCAATTGAATATTATCTTGGTGGAGTTGACTTGGATTGTGTACCACATATTTTTCTTAAATTATGTTATTCAGCAATGGTATAACAGCAACTACATCTGTAGCTTTCTTCATAAAAAGTCCTTACTGAAGAGGCAGGTTCAAGATTAAAGCTGATCATCTCAATACTAAGAACAAAAAACATGAGCCTACTTTGTTTGCTATCCTTATCCTCCTTAACAACAAGTTACGGACACCTCTTCATGAAAGGTATTTTAGGAAAACATCCAAGACTGCTACTGAAGAGGCCCAGATAATCTTAAATAAGAATTATCCTGAAGTCTGTTAGTTGCAGATACTGATCTTTGCCATTTTGTGTTCATCCCCATGTAGGGACATGTCTGTGGACTTTGTGGAAACTACGATGGCAACGGAAACAACGACTTCACCACTCGCAGTCAGTCTGTGGTAGGGAACGTGCTGGAGTTTGCCAACAGCTGGAAGGTGTCTTCTAGCTGCCCAAATGCCAATGGAACAAAGGATCCATGCACTGCAAACCCATACAGGAAAGCCTGGGCACAGAAGCAATGCAGCATCATTACCAGCGAAGTGTTTGCAAAGTGCCACTCCCAGGTATGACAAAAACTTCAGTTTAAATTCTCTTGAACCAGAATACATTAATTTTTTTATGTGGGATACCTGAAAAATACAACAAAATGCACTTTGTCAAAACTGACAAAGTGAAGTCAGACCAAACTCAAGGGAGACCTCATAGGAAGTATTTTCACTTTCATTTTTTCACCTCATGCCTTGAACTAATACACTAAAGAAGTTGATTTTGGTTTGTTTGGGTTTTTTTTTTAGTATAATGGACAACTGCAGATAAATCTCAGGATATGCTTGTTTTCTAAGGGCATAATTTTCTACTTATATAAATATCGGCCATCTCACATATATGACTGTGTGCTAGCTTGTAGTAGTGTAACTATTCTTTCTGCAAATGCTTCTTCAACATCAAATAATTCTTAGCATTACAACCTGCTAGTAACAGCTTGATTTGCTATTTTCCTCTTGATTTTTCAAAGCATTCTCATGGTTTCTTCCTTTCTTCTCTTGCTCACACATACTGAGTTGTCGGTACAGCTATTTTATTCAGCTTTTTATAGGACAGTGAATGCCTTTTCAAAGAGGACAAGTCCATGAAAACTCATGTTTTCCCCAACAGATTGAACCAAATGAATACTACCAAGCCTGCGTGGATGATGCTTGTGCCTGTGACACTGGAGGAGACTGTGAATGTTTCTGTACAGCAGTAGCTGCCTATGCTCAAGCGTGCAATGAGCTGGACATCTGCATTTCATGGAGAACTCCTTCCATTTGTCGTGAGTCTCACCTTACTACCTTTTTAAGGGGTCCAGAGGGAAATAAAACAGAGAAGAAAAAAAGAAGAACAAGTAGAAAGAAGAAAAGATAAAATTGTACTTGTAAGAGGCAATGCTGTATTCTAACACCAACAAAAAGCCAGTTGAGTAAATCACTGGAAGCCAGTTCAACTTCTTAAAATGAAACCATTGGTAGTAACTTTACCAATTGTGTCTTCAGTGTTTGATTTTCTTGTTCAATCATAACACACAAGAGGTGAACTATATTATATTATTCTCCTACCTGTCTGCATCAGGCTCAGTGTAAATAAATATTAGTGTATACTAGCTAAAATCAGTGATCCATTTAATGGATTTTTCATGCTTAATGTGTAATTCTGTTCTATGCTCTATAACTTTACTGGTGGTAGAAGTGTAACAATTGCATTAGAATAGAAATAAGGCAATATACCGTTCACCACCTATGTGATTATGCTGATCACATGGGATTTTTACTCAGCACAACTGAAAGACTCTAGAGCAAAAAGATCAGAGCTTTTTTTCTGTCTTTTCTCCTTCCTCCAGCTCTGTTCTGTGACTACTACAACCCAGAAGGGGAGTGTGAGTGGCACTACAAGCCATGCGGAGCTCCTTGCATGAAGACCTGCAAAAATCCAAGTGGGAGATGCCTTCATGAGCTGAGAGGTTTGGAAGGTAAACATAATTATGCATATCTCATTCTACTCATAAAAATCTAAAATGAAATATGATTAACGAAATTTATGTTACTCAATATATGACATGTTTATATTAGAAATTATAAGAAGAGCTTTTCTAATTAGGGTCTTGCTCCGTAGTGGATCATGATCTTGCTTGGAGTGAAGATAATGATAAAAATCTCCAAAACTTAACGCGCAATCAAAGAAATAACAGTAACAGAGTCTGAAATTCCACTTACTATGTGGGGTAATTTGGGGCAAGCAGATATAAACTGAGAGTTTATATCTCAGTATATAGAGTATATTATATATATCATTATATTATAACTCGACACTCTTATATATATTATTATATTAGTATAAGAGTGTGGATTTATTTCTACTTGTGAAAGGACTAGTGTCAACATAATTCATTTTTTATTGCAGGCTGCTATCCAAACTGTCCAAAGAACAAGCCCTATTTTGATGAGGAAACCATGACCTGTGTTGCTTATTGTGGCTGCTATGAAGATGGAAAACACTACAAACCAGGAATGCTGATGCCTTCAAAGGAGAATTGTCAATTATGGTAGGATTAGTAAAGATTTCTTGAACCTTGAGCTTAAAGTTGTGGAATTTATCATAATTTAAATGCATAATTTGTCATGTGTTTTTTTCTTAATATTTTCTTAATATTTGAAGTGGTGCAGTCAGAATGACAAAGAGCTTCACACAAAGCCTGTCTGAATCATAGAATGACAGAATGGCTGAGGTTGGAAGGGACCCTAGAGGTCATCTCATCCAACCTCCCTGCCTTGGGCAGGGACACCTCTCAACCAGACTAGCTAACCCGATGCTCATGGAGTTCACAGACAGCTTTGCTTGTACCATCTGTGTCATTAACAGCACTAAACCTAACCCATTAAAAACATCTCTATATTTGCTTATTTGGTGTCCAGATACCCTTGTTCTCTATAAATAAATTTGTCAAGATTCAGTTCTTAACAGATAATAGATAAGTTCCCTTTAAAAACAGAATGCCTCCTTTCATCTTTTGAAAGTCAGATGGAAATTCACTGTGTAGACTACCTCAATATCCATAATACAGTGGATCCTTTCTCAATGATATGTTTACTGCACTTCCCCTTCCAAAATCCAGCTAGACTTATCAGGGAGATAAGAACATTTCCAATCACCCCTCCCCACACCTTTTCCTAGCCCCTAAAAACACCAATAAGGAGACAGCATGTTTAGTATGTTGGTGTACAAGAGTTGACTTCCTTGCCAGAAAAGTGAGTGATCCTACCTAACCTCAATTTGTACAGCAGAATCGAATATCTAACTCAGACAAGAAAGGGTCTTTCTACATTTAAACACACAACGAATGTCAAATGTTCAACAAAAAAAGAAAAAAGGAAATAATAAAATGATTTCATGAACCAATATATTCACTTTCATCATCTTTTTTTTTCTATTTTCCAGTGAATGCACGAATCACGGCAAAAAATGCACATACAACGTCTATGGTATGTTGGCAAAGTTGTTTCTATCTGACTAGGGTGCATTTGAGGTACTCTGTGTGTCAGACGCCAGGGAATAACACTTCCTTTCCATTTGCAGAATGTTACTGCATTTACGAGGGAAA